ATGTATTGAAAATTATTGCTTAATAAATGCAGTAGTTGAAAAAGACCTTACGTTCTTATGTTGGATAAAATGAACAATTTTGTAAGGTTCCTCATTTCCATAAACAATGTAATTTTCCGATTATCCTCTTTCCACCTGAGGCTTTCTCAGACATAAAGGATATTTCACAGGCACAAGCTCCTGTGCTACCTCTCATGTCATCATGTGTTTTTTATTCTGAGCCAAGTCTTCTTCTAGTGAGTCATTTTTTATTTTTCCTACAGGAAATATTGATTGCATCAGAAAATATAGGCCATTTATATTTTTTTACAGCACATGAAAATGTGCAGCCTTTAGTCCCATAGCTATGAAAATCTGTACAGGGGGAATTTTTTTTGTGGGTATGTTGGTTAAAAGGACAATTTTAAAATCTGCATTTCTTTTTTTCCTAGACTGTTTACTCCATGGCCCAGTTTCCCTTCCCACAGCTGGCAGAATTACGGGAGAAATATACGTACAACATTACTCCTTTCCCTGCTGCAGTAAAATCAACTTCCCTTTCAGGGTAAGTTTGGACCGCGCTGCTTATGGCATATGGGGTCACTGTTTATCTTTAGGTAGATATTGACAGGTGGCATCTTCCCTTATACACCCTTGAAGAAGATGATGTTTGCTAGTGATCATATATAATAATGTCTTTCTTTCCTATCTCCCTTATGTTCTCATCTGATAGGAGGCTTGGCAAAATCAGAGACAGTGATGAGGAGAATGACCCAGATGATGAAGACTCTATTGCCAATGCAATTGGTTGTCTTGGACCATTAAGTGGGTTTTTGATACCAGAGCTCCAGAAGTACCAGAAACAGATCAAAGGTAGTGGTGCCTCAACTGATCGTGAAGAATCTTAAATCTGCATGCTAAATCTGCATGGCCTTGCAGAATCATCTGTAGCTTCAACTGTGAAAGCTGCTATGAAAGTTGTGTTTTAAATTCACACAGAGATTACAGTAGATGTCAAAAGGCTGGCTCTGCAGTCTGTGAAGATGCCTTCTAAGCAAAGCTTGAAGGCTTTATATGTTCAGTAAATGGGGTAGCTACTTTAAAAGACCAACCCCAGTGTTCCCCACTTACACAAAAGAAGCAAGCATATATTAAAAAAAAATCTATCCTGATGCTAATTTCGAAGAGAGCTATTGAGTAGTCAGCATCTTCTGAGGAGTGAAAATTGGAAAAATATTCTAGACCTCTATTAGTATACAGGTCAATACAGTTGGAACCTGTGAGTGATGAAACAGCAGCTGAATTCTGCAGGTCACTTCACATTCCTTCTGGCTAAACCTTCCAAGAATTGTATGTTTTGGATGTGTCAAATTTCATTTAAAGAAAATCGTGTATGGTGACAAAATGTTACCTTTTTTTCACATGCCTTAGTATTGAAAGAAAATTTCTCACATAATTGTACATTCAACTGTGTGAGCCCTGTAAGTAAAATTCTCATACCTTTGAGGAAAGTAGGTGATTTGTAACTCGCATCAGTGTCTGTGAAACAGTGACTTCAGAGACTGATCTTATGATACCCCGGAGGAGGATTCCTACAAAACAGCTTCTCACAGGTGCAGCTTTCAGCTTTCTTTATTACTTTACTGAAGACGAGGCAGAGAGAGGCTCACAGGAAAAGACAGACTGAGATTTCTCTCCCAGGGGCTGGTGACCTGCTTGTTTTCAGTGCTGCCTAGTGTGGGGGCAGCACTGTTCACTGGCTCCGCAGAGGCACTGCCTGAAGCAGAATGGCTCTAGTTAGGAAGAGGCTGCTACCTGGCTGTGCATCACCACTCCCGTGACTTGGTTCTGAGGAGACCTCAGCGCTGGATTTTCTTCCTCTCTTCTTGGAGTTGTGGTGTTTGCGTTCCCCAAGTCCCTATCTGCCCCTTCACGCTGGCACTTAGAGCCTCAAGCTGATCGTGCGACCTGAGCCAAAGGCAAAGACACATCCCTAACAAAGACACCCCTTGTGCGCCGGCTGGACGGCGCAGCAGGGGCAGCTGTGGGAATAACCGCGGCGCTTCTGCCGCTCTGCGG